GTGCCTTCAGACCTAAACTTAACGTTGTCAATCACTGCGTGAGATTCCAAGCTATTTAATGTTCTCCCTATAGCATTGAAAACCATTTACAGTCCATATAAATTCCAAGACAAACTTAAAATGTTCTTATTCCATAGAAGAATATTTAGATGACAGAAATTAAAATCTAATATGAAATTTCTTTGTCATATTTAAATTATAGTCGATTTATTTCAAATTGTATGCTGCCATTTTAATAATATTTAATTTTATTAATATTGCATGAAGTAGTTATTTAATTGTAAATTGTTTGATTGACTTTGAAATGTTATTATATAAGAATTGTAATTTTATGCTAATCATATTTAAGTGGTTATAATTTTATTTTTTATCTAATATTTTTTTGTAAATTGTTTGTGATTTCCAATACGATGAAAATTGTTTAAGGAATAAATGACTATGACTATTCCCAGAGACAGCTTTAAAACCAAGTCCGCATTTTGTAATAAGACGAATAGTATCGATTCAGTTATTCTCTCTATGGTATTGGAATCCATTATGTTGTATATGGTGTTCCAACTAACATAAAACAATTTATAGCAGCCGGCACTGGCAGGTAGTTATTTATTCTGCAGAACTGGTTAGTTGTGCTCCATGCTCCACTTGAGCCAAGTAAAATTATAATTGCGCAGTTTTGCGTTAAAATATAATGAAAAAAAGTTGACCGACTGCCCGTATCTTATCGCTCGCTGTCTTAGTTGGGTTTTGTCCAGATGACCTTTACATTTTTTCCCTTTTTTTATTGTGATAACTTGACAAGATAGAATTAGCATTATAGATAGTAATTAACATTAGACCTTAACTTAGACATACACTCTTCGGTTTATTAAACATAACTAATTTTAATAAGCTTCATCATCGACAGATCCAATGTCAATGTATCCTTACTGAATACCACAGGAAAATAACGGTACTTTGGACGGTGTTGGGTTTCTGCCGGTGAATTAGGTTTCCAGGGCTCCACAGCGGTTGGCGATGGGGTCAGGGTCGGCAACTGTACGGTGTCACCAGCGTCTATCTATAGGCTATCTCAGTGGCGGGCAAAGTACGGCCCGCGGGCCACATCCGGCACGCCGACGGGTTTTCAATTTGGATATTATATGGTCTGAAAAAAAATACTTTTCAAGATTGGATATTAAAAAGTAGGTATACAAAAGGCCTTCCTTAAAAATTTCATAAATTTTATGGTCCGCCATTCAAAGAGTTTGCCTACCACTGGGCTATCTATATAGTTGCCGCTTCCCATAAAACTGGCTATAGCTTTACCTACCCCCGTTTTTGCATAAAAAAACGGGCATGTGCTGCTCAAATGCGGTAGAAGTGAAACCTACAATAATGTGAACACGTAAAAGTCCTTCATGACTAGGTACGTCTTCTGTGTTAAAATTCATCTCTCTAGGTCAAAATTAAATATTTCATGCTTAAATTGTTTCGAAAAGTAAATAATAGCAATAATATCAAAAAGAAAAAAAAATGAAAATGTGCGTTGTGTAAAGACATTAATAAACTCATCACTTTAAATGAAACATTAATATAATATTTAGTTTTATTTGCGTTACATTTAAAAACCTATAAAAATGCGAACACGTAAAGTCCTTCAGCCGCCCGCTGCTTTATTTGATACCATCTATTTTTATTTTATTTCTTTGTTTTTCTTATTTAAGGGTTTTTTCGAAATATTAATGAATACCTAGTAAATAAAAAATTGCAAACATTGGAAGGGTAAGGATTGTTGATAATAGCTTAATAAAAGAAAAAAACAATTAAAAAAATAGCCGAGCTCAGGATCGAACCACCGATCATTTGGTGTCGACCCCAAGACCGTTACGGTTCGGCTATCTGTCTCTTATAATAAATGATAAAATTACGGAGACCTCCGGATAGGATCTTGTGTCAAATACTCTACTTCCGAATCGTCGTTCTTCCTTTTCATCGAATCTCAAATCACAGTGGTGTTAAAGAAGTTATCACATCAAAAACAGAATCTCCCTTATTTAAAAAAACATTAACGTGGCGTAAGATTATTTCTACCATACCACCAAGATTCAAAGCAACATAGATATCTCGGAATTTATCTGCAGTCCAAGATATCGAATCGAATCCGTGAAGTCATAGATGACAAAACTATCGAAACCAAAAAAATTCCTCCCGTCCCACTCGACTCTTTTTTTTTGACTAGTTCGTGTGTTTACTACTAGTATTAATTAATGAACTCACATGTATATTTATTATAATTAATATTTATTATTTAAATTTTCCTTCGAAGTCATAGGATACATGCTATTTAACTGAATGTGTTATTGACTTCATCTGCCATTCATCACATGTATGTTTTATAGTCAACAGCCATTCGTTGTCTAATAATGTATGCAATTAAGCAAATTTATCCTCCCATCAAACGCTTTCCGGAAGCGTAGTAGCAAATTTAATGTGCTCCGGAAATCTGTCATCTGCGTGCCGTTCAATGTCAAAGACTGTTATTTTAGATGACCCAGTGATGTGGTAACCATAGACTTGGAAAAGACCAGGTGGCCGACGGACGGGGTACTCTAGTGATGTTGGCCCGCAGACTCCCCCGTTCAGCCGGTTTACCGTCTCTGAAGTCTGAACCGGTTCGCTCGCTATCTATTCGATTCGACTCAGTACAGAAACGCGCGCCGTCACCGACATACACAGACATCGCGTGCGTTCGAAAAAACGTAACATAAAAAACAGTTTTTCTATCCTATACATTCAAAAATACCAATTAAGTTTCCAACACGTGGCTGTGATAAGTCCATAAAGTGATATTTTACAAAGTTCCTCCTTTATATAATTTTACCTGGTTGTACTCGGTGAGTTTCACACATTTTCGCGGTCTCGTGACTACGTGAATTCTTTTAAATGGATAATTTAAGTAAAATAAGAAGTTGCGTGAATTCAAAAGTGAACGTGTTTTGTGTAATTCGCTTATACTTCATTATTTCAGTCATTTTGTCTGGCATTATTTGCAATAATAACACTCCAAAGGGTGTTATACAATAGGTACTGGAATGATAATATTTTACTCTAACGATTACCTGGCTAGTGATCACGAAAATTACTAACATAATGATTTAGTCAATTAGTCTTATTTTTTATTACACATGTATAAGTTTGTTTAAAATGAGACTATACCATAAGTATTCACATAAAATCTAATATCAACTATTTACAATTAACAAAAGATATCATCGTTGACTTGATATTTTAATCACAATAATATTATAAAAGCGAAATTGAGTGTGTGTGTTTGTTACTTCTTCACGTCTAAACGGCTTTAGCGATTTTAATAAAATTTGTATTGGTATGGAGTTAGCTGACACCCTGGATTAACACATAGGCTACGTTTTACTGCGGGAAAATATCCCTAATAAACCGCGGGTAACACTAGTATTAAAAAAAAGCTATATAATATCAGTGTTTGGACCAACCTCTGTTTTTTTTTTACTTTTTTTACATGGAAAGCTTATCCAATATAAACAAAAAGCCTTGAATACTGAAATCCTATACTCTTTCTTGGCCTACTTACTTAACGAAGTTGTGAAAGTCGTCGATGATTCGTAAGATTTGATACACAATTTCATGTCTGACTTTCTTTCATCTCATGGCCGTCTTATTAATGACTATGGGGAAGGAAATGCTTTTTCCGCCAATTAAATTATTGTCATAATAATTATTGACAGATAGAAAATCCATACAGTAATACAAGACTTTGGTAGGGATACACTCATAGGTATTTGTCATTTAATAATTCATAAAAAAGAAAAATATTCTCTATCAGGGTAACAATTTAACCATCTAACTTCAATTCTGTGGCATTTTTACACATTATTCATGATATTTACAATATGTAACGGCATTAATCTTCGCCTAACTGATATCAGAGCTGTTTTGAGGCTGCACATATGAAATACGTGACTTTGATAACATCAGAGGCTATAAATATTTAAATTGTTTACTTATTTCTTAGTTCGTCCAATTACTGTATTGTTTATGCGCCTAAGCACCGGATGAGGTGACAGCATTATTGTTTACTACAAAATAGTGTTGGTCATATTATTTTTTTTAGTTTGCGAGACCTTCTTAGACCATAGGTGTAAAACTTGTAGGTAATCGTTGAAGTGGCTGGTACAGCACCTATATCTTCCGCACTAGCAGCACTGATTTGGATTCCACTTTTATTAGGTGAGGTGAATTAATTCGCTCAGCCATCAACCAATTAAAGTCTCTTACATTAGATTTATAATAATGACTTGCTCTCATTATAAATCAAATTACATAACACGGATATTGGCTGTGTCTGATTAGCCCGGCTCAATCGATATTGTTATTCTGTAAAAGTTTCCAAAAGTATTTTTTGTTTACCAAAAATTAACCATTCTACAAAATGTGTGGATGATTAGTGACTAATGCTTCGGGTCTAAATGGATTTGAATACAAATTGTTTCATTGTAGAAGTCTCCTATTAGTTATATTTCTTTACTATCTTTTTAGTGGTTTTGACAGACGATCTGTTGTGTGGACTGTAATTGCGTTTCAAGTCAAATTATAATCTAAAATTAATCCATTATCTTTCATTTTCTATTCTAATATCATTTAAGTGAGATTCACCAAAATGAAATTTATGAATGTTTCCAAGAAACTGGTTAAAGTCAATTAGCTTTTAGGTATTTGTGAAAGTAATATTATCTGACATGAAAACATTCTTAATCCAAGTAAATCCTGTTTACTTATTTTGTAATATATATTGATAATATAAACAGGTAAGCTCGCCTGTGATATTGTTTTCACTCACTGAGTACGTGACTCAATTTAAGCATTCTGCCTAAAATTTATATTTTTCCTACCTACTTAGACAACGTTTTCCGAAACCGTTTTCTTGTTCAAGCAACATCCATATCCGGTAAATAAAATAAAAATGATTATAAGTTAATTAAAATCTTCATTGTATATAAATGTGTCGGTCGGTATGGTAGTTCATCCGACCTTTGGAACCAATATAAAGGTTATCTTATCCGCGACCCGTCTGTCCCGCCACCTCCGGCGCCTGTAACCTTGATAACCTCATCCGCGGAGATACCGTCGGTCGCGATGGACATTGCCGGATATCGATAAACTTTACGCCTATTATATTTTCCACCATCTGGCAACACAACACAACAGCAGACCGACCAGTCTCATTTCCTCGATGATAAATAAAAAAAAATTTTCATCACTCCAATCTACTGACCTCCAAAAGCAAAATAGAACATCACGTCTAAATTTATACCAACCGCCTTAGAATAATAACAAGAGTATTATTTATAAGAACTAGTTTGCAAAATTAAAGAAATGTAATGTATTATGTTAAAAAAAATACTACTCTTTGTGTCTTTCGTTATCACGAATAAGTGGTATTGATTTTATTTGAATTTAGGAAGATAATGATCTCTCTGACATTAATTCCTTGCCCTACCTGGTAAGAATTATCTGTAACGAATCAATCCTTTGTTTTATTCGAAATATATGCTTAAAATGTAAATTCATTAGCGATTAAGGTCTGTCCTAGCTTGGTTGAAGGTTCCTGTACAAATTTTGCAATACAGCCATTGCTATTTGGAAAAAATGCTTGATTAACAAATCCCCTTGTCAATATTTTGTGAATGGAGACCCTCTTTGTTGACCCTGTTTTATTATTAGTTGTTGTGATAGCGGCAAGCGGAGGCTTTGCCGTTGTCGCCATTAGCACGGAACCTGTAGGTATTTAACGTAGAAAACGTTATTATAATTTTACAAAAAAAGTCTCAATGTTCGCAATGACGATTATCTAAAATACGTTTATGTCACCGTGGATGACTATTAATCCACTCTAATTAGTTAGGAAATAGGCACTACTTCAATGAAAATATATCATTGACTTACTATAATTCATTCGCCGGAATAAACTGTTTAGGAATATTGACACTTCTGCGGGTTCATTATTTATGTGGGCAGTTTGAGATAATATAGTTAAACCTTTCCCGCATCCAGTTTCCAAAGTATGTCAAATGGCAATCAATAACAAAGATGTCGACCTTGACTCGGGTTCGGGGCCAAGGCCGCGCATCCAGTTTGTTTGTGCATCAAAAGTTCGTTTGATTTTTCCGGTATCTTGTAGCTCAGTTTAGTCCGAATTTCAACTTGTTGACACACCATGGCTTCCTAGGAGTTGATTCACCTACGCATTGCTTAAGTTCTTTGGGGTCGATGACATTTTGATGACAAAATAAATGCGCTGTGTCTGTCACCACTTTTTGTCTTCGTATCTCGCCCTCGCATACCATATATTGTGGTGGCATGTTATGTATAGGTATGTTTGTGTGTTATTAATGTTTGAACAGGCATTTAATAACAAATTTCACTGTAATAAACATAATAAACTACTAACATACCTACTGTGCCTGTATTATCTGCCTCTTGTTGTCTTACTTTAATTTCTATTTCTGCAATGTTTAAAGTTCATTCTTTCTCTGCTTGTTTATTTAATTACTTATAGCAACTTTTAACAATTGATAAAAAGAGAAGTGATATTTGAAAACTTTATAAACTATAAATAATATGGTGTTGCAAGTGGCCCTTTCCTAAATATGCAAGCCAACACATAAGATGACTCATTAGCGTCATTGAACTTAACCTACAGGCGTTTTTCCGGTTCCACAAATTTTGTACCGTATGGTAGGTCCAAAGTCCTTAATTGTTGATACATTCAGCTTCGCCTTTGTGTGTCGTCATCTCCGGAACAGTGCATATATCGGCGGACTTCGCTCCGCATTGTGCTTAACCTAAATAGGCTGAGGACTACCGTTTGAAGAACATTTTGTTTAATTGTACTTCATTCTGTTTTTGATTCTGACTAACTTGTTGCTTACATTTTGCCGTGAATCGGAACGCATGTTATTCAATTAATTCATTCCCTTATTGGAGACAATAATCCATACTCTGCTAAATTCCTAAAACCATTTCCTTTGTTGGACACTCGTGTCGTTCTTCGTTGTTCTTGTATTGTTTGAATTGCTTTGTTTTTGTGGCATCGTGTACAGTCATCTTTACAATGAGGAGGATCACGTGCGTTTTATTCAGTCGCGTCGCGCGATGCGATGAGCATGCGCCACTTCGCTGATATAATACGTTCGTACGATTAAATTATTCACCCCACAAGAGCGCCAGAATCAAACATTGTGCCTACCAAAGAAATAGATACTGAAAATGACGTAAGTTCATTGTTATTATTAATGTTTCATTACCTGAATAGATTAAGTTGTTTTTGATCACGGTATATTTAGTATTCTTATATCCTCAACTCTGACAATTGAAAGGTTATCCTCATTACCCTTTATTTAGCTGTCTCCGAAAAGGGCGACTAAGTTCGAAAGTACTTATTTTGTAATTTTCCACCAAGTAACACTTAGTTTTCAATAAACGATTGACTATTGTTGTCATCTACGACTTCTATTCTATATATCAATTATAATGATTTGCGATTGGTTGAAACATCAGTTACAAAGCTATGTTAGTTACATAGACGAACTGCACTCGAAAAGAAAACGGAAGGGGAGGAGGCTGCATCTGCGTCTGAAAGCAGGTTGCTCTCGTGAACTTTTGCCCTTTGTGTAGTGCACCGGCGAGTGGCGAATTTTGGAACGTTGCCTGAGATTTCTCATCAGTACCCCTAGCACGAACCAATATCAATACGAATAGTTTGCGAGTCCGAAATGTTATTGTCAAATGTGTACTGATTATTTGTTCTCGTTACGTCCTTTATGGCGCTGCTGAACAGCAGCGCCATAAAGTTTCCATACAATATTTGACAATGACATTTCGGACTCGCAAACTATTCGAATTCGATATCGGTTCTTGATAGGGGTACTGGACTTCTGGTCTTTTCGTAACTATATTTTTTAGTAGTATTTGATTACGTTTTAGGAATAAATTAGCTGCTAAATGATTGATCGCGGCCCCTATGGCCGTGTCGAATTTTCTGTAGTATTTCTTAGACTGCAAGGCAGCGCCATCTCTTCGCATTATAAGTAACCCACAATGTCAAATTAATACTTTTACGAGTATGTATTAAACACTTTATAGAAGAAATAGCAATGTTTTTTATTTTTAAGCATTTAACTGCTTTAAATAAAATATAACTACATATTTCTTATAGTATTATTTTATTTAGATTTAAACATCTAGCAGTTCAATGCTTAAAAATAAATAGAAACATTACTAGTTGTTATTTTCAACAGTCACGATCTATTCGAACTTTTCTCATTCGTATGTTCTGATAATGTAGAGTAAAAGAAGATTTGTAACGCTAGTGTTCCCAATAGTTAAATAAAATGGTTTTGAGTTAGCTCTTGTGGCGAAACAGTTCAATAAGCAATGCCTTTTATGCATCCCTCTCCTTTCAGGCCTAGTGAAATGAAACTTAATATTCCTCCTCGTTGCTCTTACCTTTAAGCAGGGATCGTCTTTCAGGAAGAAAATATTAAAGATTAAGCAAAGGAACGTATTGAGTATCCATCGGACTTATACACTAGTTGACTAACTTGGTAATCGTTGGAAATTGTTGATTTCTGCATTTGATAGCAAATTTTTTGAAAATAGTCTATAGAAAAAAGTCAAATAGGTACTAGAAAAATAAATATTTAACAAATGTAGGGTTCTACTTTGGAATTATGAAACAACACTGTTATTTTGATTTAGATAAGTACTATATTCGCGATCGACCCCTGTTCAGGATAAATAAAGAGATGTGAACTTAATTTATGTATTTCCCATAATCATTTCACTGGTAATTTATATCATGAGTCAACAAGTAACAATTCATAGTACAGAAGTCGCCACAATGAAATCATAAATAAATTCACAGTCTAAGAATTGATAATAACAAACAATAACGACACAATAACATGGAAATAGAATTTGACCGATATCAAATCAATGTTGATTCGTAGGTACTGTACCTGTTTCTTTGTATACTATATATATGAAAAACTTGATGTTGAGATAAGTCGATAAACACGCCATTTATCGAGGTCGTCTCTCGAGGTGTCTAAAGTTCGATTATGGCCATATGTACCTACTTTTTCCTCTTATTCTTTTTATATGGGTTATATTTGATGTACATTATTTTTAACATAAGAAGAGCGGTACCACGAATGAAACTGATTTGAGGGAATGGTAGTTGAGTCAGTGTTGTCAGTGAAATTTTTGTTAATTGTAAAAAAGTATTATTTAAACTGCCTAAAATTTAAAAATGATCTACCTGACAAATTATTGCAGAAATCATCAGTATTTCCAACAATGAGGGATTTCTCTCTAGAAAAGCTTTTACAGTCGTTAAATTTAAAAGTATGTATGTTGGTGTCGTATCTAGGCATGATTCTCTGAACTTAAAACTTCGTTTAGTCTCTCCTTTTCATTCTACATAGAGAATGACAAGGATACACTGTTGCCAAATTTAATTTTAGGTTTAGAGAATCATGTCTGGAACGACACCATTATCTTTCTAGTGTTGACTACACAAGGTATTCATCTACTTTGTGTTAAAATCTATTAGAGTACTCCAATAGACAAAACGCAATAAGGCGGTTTCATTATCTTCTTCAGAGCCTTCTGCGTAATAACGCTTAGGTCTATATTTAAAACAGTGCAATCTGATAGCTACCAACACCACTTGTCGTTGTTAAATGACAAAATAGCTGTATCAAGTGGGCATAATTGAGTTACTGAAGATCACGGACGTTTCATTGTGTCGCCTTAGCTAATTAATTTGTAAGCTCTATTAATTCAGAACATACTTCACTAAACGCAGAGGAGGTCACTTAATGCTCATCACTGAATTCGGCATTGTTGCTATTTGCCTAATCCTTTAGTTTTAAATTTTTATAAAATCAAAACTACTTGATTTTGTACACAGAATAACTAGTAATTTAATATAACAACTTTGCAAATTGTTCAAGTGTTTGGTTTACTTTATTTGGAAAGTAAATTTTAATATTGAAATGGGGTGAAAGAAGACTGATTTCCAGTCTGAAGTTACTGAGGACGACTACAACATCTGCCCCTTAATTCTATAAATTGAACGTCTAATAGACGTTACATAAAATTATTTTACATTTGAAGGACTTCTAAAATTTTCAATTACTGAGGTCGAAGCTTCAAATCAAATCAAATTTATTTATAGCATGTCACATTAAAAATGCAGGTAGTTTATAAATAGGACAGGAACTATGTGACGCGATGCAAGTGCATAGCAAAATTAGATTACATTATGTTTTCATAATATTAAGTTAACTCAAATTAAGTATACGAATCACAAACCCACAAGCAAGTATTCATTTTAAATTAGGTAATCATTCATTCATAATAATCAAATAATAATTTGATTTTTTTCATAGAAATTAACAATTCATTTAATACCACGATTCAAATCTTTGGTAATACCGACATTGTTTTCGTCGTTTATTATCCTTGAAATTTTATTAAGGCATAACATATAAATTATGTTTATGCCAATGCAAACGCCACTTTACTAAGTGGCGTTTATTATACATACGGCTGATGTATAATAACTTAATACATCAGCCGTATTGAACCTATTTGTTAACTTTCCTAAGATTAGCATTTATCTTTACTAAGCTATATACAACTCATTATCATTTTCTGATAAACTTGCGTCTTAATATTATTATATTGGTTAATAAAATAATGTTTTTTTTTGTGACGCTTTGTTCGTTTGACCTTTTTAAGAGTTGCGAGTTGAGAAGGAACCAATCAGCAATTTAGCCCAGAATTTGGCATAAATATACATAGTCACGCTGATCAAGTGGTAAAATCAAATCTTTTTATCCTTGCAATGATCATAATGTAACGCGTCAAACATAGAATCTCTAGCAACAATTTGTTAATAAACCTTTAATAACATCCAAAACATAAAAAAACGAAAGCTCACTTCTAAAGAATTATAAAACAAATTGCAAATTAATCAGATTCCCAAAAAATTAAAACACAAAGGTTAACGAAAAGCGACCTTTTAAAGATGAAATAGAATTCGACTGCAGAGATCGAATAGCAGAATTTAAGATTTTCTCTCTTTCTCGTAATCTGATCTGTAAGTGAGTCGTGATTCATGAATCACGATATCTTAAGATAACTTAGTTGCGTTCAGATCGCCATCGGAATAACCAAAACAAACAAAGCCGAAATTCGAGTTGTTGACGACTCAGACAAAATAGCGGAGCGATATTCTTTTCGCGCCGCTATGCATGGTCACGACACCGGCATCTAAGCTAACCCATGAACTAAAATATCGTGACGTATTGCGTTTTTGACTGCAGGCATATCATGAGTATACGTGTAATCCTAACTAATATTAGAAATGCGAAAGTGAGTTTTTGTAACACTTTCACGCTTAAACCACAGAATGGATTCGGATGAAATTTGGTACGCATATAGTGAAGACCTGGGTTATAAAGAAAAAACTATACTTTGGATCCCGGAAAAATTATAACGATTTTCGGAAAACTAAAGTTAACGCGGTTGAAGTCCCGGGCGGCCGGTAGGATGAACTAATTAAGAAAATTAACACGCAATTAAAAGTATTACGCGTCTGCATATTGTATCAGTTTTCAATTCGTCTCATCAATAATACCAATCTATGAATATTAAAAAGCGATGGCAGATCGTTATTTTTTTGTCAATTGCGTGATTTTTCGTTTACAACTAAATCTGAGACACAATGCGTTTACGCTGAAAATAGAGCGCGGAGGCTCGTCGTCTGCTGTCTCGATCTTGTGTCGTGGGCGTGTACTAGCTTCGTTCGGTATTTGCATCGCAGAGGCGACGGATTTTCGGTCATGTGATCACAGATTAATCTGAGTAAATTGCTATTAACCAACGGCACGACCGACCGTTAATTTCAAACCTTAAACAGAAACTAACCTCTCAACATAACAGATATATGACAGATAACCAGAGTAATCTCGTCGGTCAAAATACTCCGAGCAAACAGATTTACATCGTACTGATCTGAACGGAATTACCGAACGGTTCAGATTTACTCTAGATGTAATAAACGAACGATTCAGATTTCAGATTAAAAAGATTGACCAGACTCAAATACCGAACGCAGCTACTGTTTTGCGTGCGCGAGAATTTCGGTATTTCATACGTCAAACCTTTAATTATTAGAAAAATCCGTTAAGATTATTTTATTTGTATTTCTGGTGATGAAATCTATGGACGCTAAAGAATTCCTTCAACAAATATTTCGCCCTTTCGACCGGGAGACCTACTCTTTTTTGATGTATCATAATAATCCTTTATAAAAAAGAAGAAAGGAATGGAAAAAGAACTCCTGTTCTTTTTTCCACTTCTTTACCACGTACATCACTATAGAGGCGCACCGCGGAAGTTCGCTGTGTGCGATGACGCCTCTTGTCACATACCTACCTGTGTTCTATTTTTTTCATGGACTCTCGCGTACTTTCCTCCTGTTTGGTCCCTCGGTGTCCGCGGTACTTCGGGGGAATTTTGTGTGCGGTATTTTTTAAGCCGTCGTTTGCGTTACTCAGTGCAGTTATAAGCGATCTATTACGGCGGCAAAGAAAGAAAAATCATTTATTGGCCCAAAAACACAAGATCTTATAAGAAAATTTTATTAGTGTTTTATTTTTAATACTTTGATAACTGTGTTGGCTGTAGTATTTAACTATTTTTTAATACTCTATTATTTGTTTCAGATTTAAGAATACAGAAATGTTTATAGACGAAAATGAGACGTAAGTACCTTTAAAATACTGTCCAATTTTAATTTTAGCTGTTGGGCTCATTCATCATCATTAAAGTCTGTATCAAATAGTTTTTTTAGCAACGTGTAATCGTAATTATTATTCATCAGAAGCTGGCCTGGGTAACGTTTGTTTATTCCCAGTGGAAACTCTGAGCTAAATGCCTTACTCGCGATATTCTACAGTCGGCCGTCCAGCCAAACCTCTGTGACATTAGCTGCTAAAGTGTTCTTCAACTGTACTTGGTGTCATGGAAGGCCTACTGTCACGCGCTACTGATCAACCAAGACAGGGCTGATTGGCACAACATTCCCGTTGTTCTATCACGAACCGAATAATTTTATATTTCTCGTTAACGTAGTCTCCCAAATGTTTAAACTTCCTAGGTAAGTGTTTAAGATAAAAACTGTCAGTTATAAAGTTTTATCAAATTACGTACTTTCTGCATTCGGTCTATTGAATCTTTAAATTTAATAAATTTCGACGACCTCCGTGGTCGAGTGGTTCCGGGTTTGATGGTGTTGCCGACACGAGAGGTCCCAGGTTCGAATCCCGGTGGGGGCAGATGTTTGTGTGATGAATACGATCATTTGTACTCCAGTCATGGATGTTTAATATGTATTTATATAAATATACTTATTTATGTACAGTTTAAGTATTCTATCCGTTACCCTAGCATTCCATAACACAAGCCTTATAGTGCTTACTTTGGGGCTAGGCTAATTGGTGTGAGTGTTGGAAATATTTATTAATATTATTATTAATCTTGGCTTATCAGCATGATATTATCCATTCAAGATTGGGAGAAAGAGAAATAAATGTTAAATGTTTTCTTAAAGCTTCTCTGTTAAGGGAGAAAGGAGATTGCTCAAATTGTCCTAAGTGCACAAAAATATTGACATACACGGTAATTCTTGCCGCAATTTATAATTTAATTAACAGTCATAAGATTTCAACGGACACCTTTGTATAATATATTTACTTTAAAAAGTACTTTTAATTTTACCGGTTTGGAAAACATACGAATCATTTTTAATAGCTATGGGTGTAGTAACATTCAGCCAAAGACTGATCGAAGTTGTTTATATAACATAAAAACAAATCTATTTTGTAAAGATCGATAAAATAAATCATTTTTTTTTATTACACTGTGGTATTAATATCCACAACTATATTATCATTTTCACTAGATGCAAATGTGCTCAGACAATTATTACAGATGGTAGGCGACATCATTAAGTCTATTGCCATACATTTTTCGCCAAACACCTCCATAAACACATTATAATCTGTATATGTTAGACTTTAAGGTATCTATCTATGGGCCTACGTTCCTGACTATAAATTAATAAATAAATAAAATTATAAGGTGTGATACACTAAAAATCTAAAATATGGTTATCTTAAAAACAAAACAAAAATAATGAAGCTACTGAATATATGGCCATAGAACCTAAATCTCTTAGCTTTCTTTGGTTAACGAGAGTTTAAAAATTCTCTCTAATCTGTGGCACATTCACAATCATCACACAGTTTCTGCCACAGAGTACCTTATTATAACCGGAAATGACACCTGATTTTAAAAGTTACTCTTATGCATTAACTTTAAAAACAGGCAACGTTCTGTTAATCTACATGCTCTATACACCTGAATCTAATCCATAATTTCGGTACTTGGCTTGATTTCCCTAGTTTACTATATAACTTATTTGTTTTTTATTATTTTAATAATGTTCAGTGTATATGGTTTATAGAAGTTCTCAGGGGTGTTCGTCAATAATATTCGTTTCTACAGTAATCTCTTATCTATTAAACAAGTCCGTCTGTCTGTGGTGCTGTTTCAGCGGCCAAACCGTAAGAGATAGATAAAGAGAATATTTAAAGAAAATATAACAAGAAAAAATTCCACGCGGACCAGGCAGCAGACGGGACTCGAACCCGCACCCTTCGCAATCCGGGCGAATGCACTGACCAATTATGCTACCGCGGCCCTCACGGACCGCGTCGAAATTCTTTCTAGCTATTCTTAAGCTGCAAGGCAGCGCCATCTCTTCGCATTATAGGTAAACCCACAATGTCAAATGAATACTTTTACAAGTATTAAACATTTGAAAGAAGAAATAGCAATTATAGTTATAATTTTTTTTATTTTTAAAGCATGTAACTGCTTGATGTTTAAATCTAAAGAAAATATAACTAGATAAATAATATAATTGGTCAGTGCATTCGCCCGGATTGCGAAGGGTGCGGGTTCGAGTCCCGTCTGCTGCCTGGTCCGCGTGGAATTTTTTCTAGTTATATTTTCTTTAGATTTAAACATCAAGCAGTTACATGCTTTAAAAATAATAAAAATTATGAGAATATTTAAGTTATAAGTTAAGAATAGTCTGATAAGACTACAAACCGGATTTGAGTAACGTAGCACTTCCGGTTTTCCAGAAATCAGGTTTTGGTGAACATTTGGTTCACTGGTTTGCTAGTTTATATATAATTTCGAATCTAGGAAACAATTTTTCATGATTATTGATCTTTAGGCCAAACATGTATGGAAGCTGAGCAATCTCCTTTCGTCAACGTAGGCAGCGAGCTATACTTCTGCTTGATAAGACTAAAAGGATCGTATACGCCTATGGTGAACGCTCACTTACCTTGAGGGTCGCCATATGATTTCTTGGCACCCTTTTAAAATTATGATGATACGTTATCATTGGCTTTGTAATCAGTTCATACAACTGGTCACTGGCTCCGTCTTCGTATCCGTCTAAGCAACCTGTTATCAGATAATAGGTCCGTATCGGATCGACATAAATAAATGGATGATACCACATGATATATTATCACTGTTATTTCCTTAACATAGCTAGTTGTGCACTGTGCGTTCGTACTGAATATTTGTGACTTGTTAATTTATTTGTGATAATCTTGAAGATACACAGCAATGTCCTACTATAAACTGAAGTGAGTATTCATTTTTGAAATAGGGATGATGACTAATTTTTTTTTCTTCGTTTATCAAGTAGATTATCAAAAAGTGTTGGACACGTATTTTTTCTTTTTTCACATAATATAAACATTGCAGAGATATATTCATTTAAAAAGTCGCACGACGTCACGTTTAAGTACACTTTTAAGTGAAAATTCACTAAAAAGTGACGTCACGAGCCCCTACTCCCAAACTTTGACGCACTATAACTTTGTCATTTTTTGGTTTATTGCCCAAAGAAAAAATACGTGTCCATTATTTTTTGATCATCTAACTGACGGACTTTTTTATTGTACTGTACCCCGTCATCACCCCTATTGGGAATATTCTGAGTTATTTGCCAGTTCTTATTTTTAATTTGTAAGTTATTATATCATGAGCTTTTAATTACGGTATAAGCTGTTAATTTTTGCCATATATGACTGAGTCAATGGACTTTCGTTGTATTCCTGGTTTGTGACTAATGATCAACAAAATACTTTCGATGTGTTTATATTCCATTCCAATACAGCAAACGGTTAACAACACTGTTTGTACTTACATTGTATTAGTTAACTAAGCTTCGCACGGATTGAAATTACTGCTTAATAAAATATGGCGATTTCAGTACAAAAATACACGTGCGATTTCCTAATTGTCTGGCCGTTTCTGGCGTATTCCCAAGAAATTTCTTACGTAACATTACAAACCTTGTCCTGACAGTAACGTAACGAATACAACAAAAAATTGTCATAACGGTAAGTGATACTCCTGTCTACATTGGATGTATCTCTAAGAATAGCAAGAATAACAGCCTTTTATCTTTTTTAATTACTCTACTCGATAAATTATGATAACCTTTTATCATAGTATGCGCACTGTATTCCCAGTACAGGTGAGTACAATGAGTGGAATTAGCCAATTGGCGTCAAAGACTGTTTCTTACAACCGTAATAACTACTAAATGTGAGTAGAACGGTTGCACCACAGAGCTAGTTAAGGATAAAGATGTTTAATTTTAAGTCTATTGCACGTTCCTAAAAAATGGGATCAATAATAAGAATTCCCAAAAAAAAATAGACTAGTTTCCTTACCATGTTTATTCGTACAATGAACAATAATGTGGCGATTTTGCATTATATGTACAACAAAAAATACACTAATGTGTAAAAAAGCTTAAGGAAACAAAATTTATTCAAAAAGTATGAGCAAACTATAGTAGCTCATTACATTATGGGGTAATATTTTATTTATTCAAGTATATATTAAGTAAAAGAGTACATTTTGTTTAGTAATGTGCTGTTATTGCATTTCTAAACAATGACACGACATATAACTGCCAGTGACGTTAAGTTTTCTTGACTTGTTTGTTGTACAATGGCCTGACAACATATTGACGATTATATTCGCCATTGTGGATTTTGAATATCATAATTAACTTTAAAATTTAAAATGCGGTACTGAGACCTCAATAAAAACAAAATATTCAAATTTTAATGGTCGGAGTCGACTTGTTTTTGATTTCCTTTATTTCCATATTCTGTACAAGACCTAGCCCAAGTCAATTATGAAACGTCTTCTTTTGCTAAAACTTTTGCTGCCTTCGCTTGGAAACTGTTATTGTCACTGTCAAATTTATGAACTCATTTTCACTCGTCAAATGGTGCATACAATTTTTTATCTAACCGGTACTTTAACTTAACAGTTAAAGTTAGTTGGTGCAACTCACCCTTAGTCAAACATAAGTTGCCGGCATTGGCGTGGATATTAGCCGAAAGCGTGTATAGTTTTATTGGAGTATTAAAATAAGTACATTTACTGATAATGTAAATGTTTAAGTCATTGTGATTAATTAGTGATAACATAATTCTATAATTATTAGTTATTTCCATAGTGACCAACTGTGTAGATATTGTGATATATTAACCATTCTAGCAAAACTATATTCCTAATAACTACTAGGTGATTAGCGAAAGTAATCAATAGGAAATCATACGAATGGTAGATATAGTGTGCATAATATGTAGAT